AGAATAACAGTGCAAGTATGATTACAATAATAAATTAAAAACATGTAACACATTCCAGTTTAATATAACTAGAAGTGGATGACACTGGAAGCCTTGCACAGTCAAGAAAAAGATAATCCATCCCCGCTCTTACATTAAAAAATGAGGTGGTTTAACCATCTACAGAAATGTAGAATATATGTTCATGAATATTTTCTATTGATTGTTGGAGCAGAATTCAACAATTTGTTGACGGCATAAACTATAGAATGCATAGCAACTTCTAGGCCTCGATTCTATCATACTAAACTTCGCTATCATTTATTTATTTATTTTGATTGAGCTGCATATGTTCCATTTTTGAGCATTTTTTCACGCGTTTTGAATAGAGCGTGCCTTTATCCGTTCTCTACACTTCCAGACTCTCATTAGACTCTTTGTCTAAAGATCACATCCTGTTTATTTGTAAAAAAAATAAATATAAATTGGGCCGGAGTGCGAATTCACAAACAGGCCAATTAAAGGAAGCTATTCATTTAGTTGCATTTGTCAAAGGGCTCAGGCAACAATTAGTACTATTAATGCAATCTTGTCACATGTCGCCATGCCACATGGAATGGCTTCTCACAAGCTGTTCCATGGATCCCTATCAAACCAAATAATTCATTTGGCCCCAGCAGCCCTCACTATGCTAAAATCCCTCTCTTTCTCTTTGACAGAGAACAAGCCTGCGGGGGGAACCATGCTTTCTATGAGGGGACTGTCAATTCTTCTTAGAAGCTGTGTCATGCGCATGTGTGGTTTGCACAGACGTGTACTAATGCATTTAAGATATTGGCGTATGATTGTCTAAGTAATGTGACACAAGCACTTACACTTTAGCAAAATGGGGTGTTGTGTTTAGTTCGGCGTGTGTGCTTGATTTGATATATGCAAGCTGGAGGAGAATAAATCTCTCACTTTGTTGAAATTGGCATGAAGAGGTATTCATGCAAATGAACAAGACTCTGGCTTTGATATGTGCATGGATACACATGTATATGCATATAACAGAAGTACATAATAATACAACGCAACGCAAATCACCAACATGCTTGTGGTAAAGTAAATAAATGTCATGTAATTTCTTATTGTTATAATCACCTCAAGTGCACCTAAAACAAAGAAGGCAATATCAAAACAGTCTGTCATGTAAGGAAAAGTTTATTCATGTTTGAAATTACACATAACTACCACAAGGAAGACTTTTCAGTCCAGGGTGTAGTCTGGTTAGAAAGAAACACGAAACATCTTTTAATACATTAGAACCACTGCCACAAATAAATTTTGTATGACTTTTTTTTTTATCAGTTTCAGAATCACATACGATACAAAAAAAGAGAAGTTGGAACCCTGTCACACAGGGTTTTGAAATGTACAATTCTGAATACTGAAACCTCTATGCATTACAGGTTTTCTTTCTTCTTTTTTTTTTTAATCATGGGTTTTTGTTTATTATTTTTTTATTTCTTTTTTGCATGAATTAGTAACAAGATGAGCAACATTCAAAATGTTCTTCAGTATTTACAACAGCTTTACTGTTTGGTGTTAATTTTATGATCATATTTCCCTCTCCCTGTTCCAGCACTAAATTCCCCATCCACCAGCCACTGTACTCTCCATACTCTCCGTGTTATTCGTATTATTAATATTATGTTTATTTTTTTTATTTTTTTCCCTTTTTTAAAAGTTGCAACAAAGCAACTTAGTTTTCTTAGAAGGATAAAATATACATTAGATTACATAAAGAGTGAGAGAGAGAGAGAGAGACAGAGAGCAGATTTCTTACAAGATGGAACCGAATCTAACAAAAGTAAAAATAATGTATTTTAAAAAGACAAAAAAAGGATGACAGAAAGTAAAAGACAAAAAGGGTGCAGGTGGTGATTTCGTTGAGAGGTAGTCAGTGAGAGCACTATAAGCTAAAGAAATGTTTTAAATCTATTGGTTTTCTATGAGTTTCAATGAGGTAATAAAGCGGAGTATTTATTTGACATGTATAAATACTCTCAAGCTATGTCATATACAAGAATGTTTTTGAATTGAACATTGCCAGAAGAGCCAACAAGATCCATATTTTCTTTTCACATCTTCCACACTACCTTAATCGTAGTGGACTAAATATCGATTACGTTTTGTGTTTAAAAAAAAAAGACATTAATTGCCAGGTATTTCAAAAAATCACCCCCCAAAATGGAGTGGATTGCCTTCCATAGGTGGTCTTGTTTAAGTCATTGCTAGGTGTGATATTAATAAAAACTCAAAAGAATATCAGCAATGAAGTCCCCAAGCTGCCTTCTGTAGCATTTAGCCCTGTTAAATGCATCGGTTAGCATTGTATGAATATACTTTTGTATCAGTTGTATTCCTGCACTAAAGCTTTGCCAACAGTTGGTTAGAACAATGGAAAGGGGTTATGACCGGTAATAAATTCAAAAGAAGAGGAAAAACCCTAATAACTCACATACATTTTGAGCTTGTACACTTCAAATGATAAAAGAAACAAAACATACTGGTTTAATATGATTGGAGGAGAGCTTGTTAGTAAAAACTGCAGTGGACTGATGTTACGGCTAAGAAATGTCCAGCTTCGAAAACACTGTGGAAAAGTACTGTGGATGATTCCATGAGGATGTTTCTGGATTATCTGTGAGAGTCTATTCTGTGTCTCTGATTGGTCAGTCTGTGGTTTTGTAATTCTGTGATTGGTTGTCCACAGCTTGGGAAGGGACCATGTCAATGAGGAGATCAGTTCGAGGTATCAGAGTGCACACTACCAGGGCCTTCTGTAGGGGAGATCACAGAGGATGGAGTTGCAGCATCATGCCATCCCCTATTACCCTGAAAACAAAACAGAAAAAAAAAATTGTAATTCATTTCACAGTGAAAAAAAAAGAAAAAGAAAAATGAAACAATGAATGGTGGGCAAAAGAGATTTGTTTTAAGTATTTTTTTTTTGTAAGAAGTCTCTTATGCACTTTATTTTATGCTCCATATTTTTATGAATGTTGAAAACACTTTTTTCAGCTTTTTTGTTTTTTAATGGAAACTGTGATACACTACCATTCAAAAGTACAACTTAAACGAAATAAATTAAGAAATAAATACTTAATTAGCAAGGATGCATTAAGTTGATCAAAAGTGACAGTGAAGACATTTATGTTACAAAAAAGTATTTTATTTTATTTTATCAAATAAATGCTGCTCAATGAACTTTATATTCATTAAAGAATCCTGAACAAATGCATCACTGTTTCCACAAAAAATGAGCACACACACACACACATATATATATATATATATATTCATATTCATAACATAAATATTTA